GTGATCCACCCACCTCGGCCTCCCAAAGTGCTGGGATTACAAGCTTGAGCCACCGCGCCCGGCCATGAACTTGTTTTTCTTACCAGATTAAAATATATTGTTATATCTTTTAGAGGTTATATATAATCCCCAGGATACCACAAAAATATTTGTATAAATACACAAAGAAAATAAGTAAAAGCATATCAATAAAAATATCAGACACAAAGAAATAACAAAGATATCTTTGTCAAATAAATAAAAATACTTAATAAGTCTTTTCTCTTTCAGAAAATTATTTAAATATATATAAAATTAACTTTTAAATTGAGACGTACTTTCAATAAACAGATTTATTTTAAAAATTTAAAAGCCAAGATCCATCTTGCTTTTCTACAAGAGGCAGTTGAAATCTAATGATAAAAAAAGACTCAAGTGGCAGAACTGAATTAACATTCCATGCAAACACTAATCAAATGAGAGCAGAAACAGTGAAAATAATATTACATAAGGTACATCTTAAGTCAAAAAGTATGATATTTTATAAAATGTACTTGAAACTCCAAAGAAAGAAGGACATCAAGAAATAATAGATTCATTCACTGGGAGCCTATGATGTGTGTGTGTGTGTGTGTGTGTGTGTGTGTGTGTGTGTGTGATTAGAGTTCCAAATATACAAAGCAAATTTGACAGAATCGAAGAATGACAGACTGAATAAAGAAAATGTGGTACATCTGAATTCTAGCACTTGAGTTTTAGTTGAAAAAGAAAATGTGGTACATATATACATGGAATATTATATGCAGCCATAAAAAAGGATGAGTTCTTGTCCTTTTCAGGGACAAGAATAAAGCTGGAAACCATCATTCTCAGTAAACTGACACAAGAATAGAAAACCAAGCATGTTCTCATTCATAAGTGGATGCTGAACAATGAGAACATATATGCCCTATGTGAATGGAAGAAACACATAGAAAGCAATATAATTATAGCAAGGTATTTAAATACCACACCTTCTATAATAAAAATAAAACAAGAAAGAACATTAATAAGGGAACAGACTACTTAAAGGCAGT